CTGAATTTGTAAATAGAAGATTTTGGACTCCCCAAAGAAAATTTAAAAAAGTTTGGTTCTGGAAATAGAGAACAGAATTTATATCAAGACATCATGAAAGAAGATTCTACAGGAGAGACACTTCAACATTCAGAAGTAGAAGTTAAGGTAGAACAAAAACATATAGGTTGGATACTGTAAGCTAAACAAACATAGCTTCTAAAAGACAAAACAAAAACAATAAACTTCTAATATCCCTTGTTGAACACATGAAAGTTTTAAGTTCAAGATGAGAATGAAATTAAACTTTTAGAACGAAGAATTAACTTCACACTAATGACATTCAAATTAAGTAAGATCTATATGATTTTACTAGAAAGGTAAGATTAAAAGAGTTTTTATGATAGTAAAAAGAGAATGAATCTTTTATTAAGATACGGTCAACTTTTGAACCACAGGGTGAAGGGATCATTTAGACTTGATTAACAAAACATTTTGTGATTCTTGGAGGTACAATATAATATTTTTAATGGAGAAAGAAAAGCTTTGAATACATCGAGAAGAGATGATAGAATTATTCAAAAAGATAGTAAGGACAGTGTTTTGATTTTAATGGAAACGCTTATTATAGGAATATTAAGTTAGAAGACTTTAATAATAGTACTTATTATGAGAAAATGTCTAAAGAGGATGTAAACTTTTATGTAAAGAACATAAAAGCGAAATTAAGAGAATATGCATCGAGTTTTGGAAGTTTATTAACTGAGCTAAAATTAAATTTATGTATTGCCAAAATTCTATAAAGTAAAATACTGAAAAAAGTATTTAGAAAGAGAAAGATCAGAATCTATTTGGCGCCAAATTTTAGATTTGTCAAGTCGCTCTATTGTAGAAGGCAAAAATGAAATTACTGAATCGTTGAGTAATTAATTGCATATTGTTTTGAAACTCATTATTTTGTAGGTGAAAAGTTATTTCAAAGACAATACAATTAATGGAAATCAGTTACCTAAAAATGATGGAACCAAATCATCCTTTAGTATCATTTGATGTTTTTGATTATATTCAGGTATTTTACATGATTTTCATTTTATGGATTTTATTAACAAAAGTTTTAATAAGAAGGTTATTTTAAAGTTCTAGGTTTAGTTCTATCTAATTATTTTCGTGTTTGAAGGTGACATTTTTCACCAAATTAGGTAATTGCCATGGACACTAAAGTTGCGTCAATCTATGCAACGCTAATAATGTGTTTTCTAAAAAGTACAATGTTTTATGCTCTTCCAAACTATTTTGAGGACTTCATAAATTACTTAACGGTAATAATATAGAAAAGATTTTTGGCAGATTTTTTTTCTACTATTTGGAACAAAAATTATGATACGTTTTCTTCCGTACTTTAAATGGATTAAATGAAACATCAACTTTACGTACGAGTGTAGTGAAAATATATCGTTCTTAGATGTTCTTCAAGTGGTTAAAGAAAATTATAAGTTATGACTGATGTTTATTATAAATCAACGAATTCACATAAATAATTAGGTTTTTAACAGTCATCCTAAATCACTTAAATTAAATATTCCTCTTTCTTTGGCATAAAGGTTATACACATTAATATCTTTAATATATTATCCAGAGGTGAGAAAAGCTTAGATAAAAAGAACTGAAACAATTTTGACAAAATGTCATTATCCAGAAAAGACTTGATATAGCTTTTAGTTGAAGAATATTTTTTAAAAGTTGTAAAATAACCTGAGCTAAACGACAATCTCTAAATTTATATAGACTGTTAACTTTTTAAACTTATAAAGGGAAAAATGAAAAAGGCATTGTACTATGTTATTGAAAAAAATGTTTAATGTTTTCAACCAGAAATCGTCAACTAGGAAAGTTAACTGTTGGACCAAAAGGGAAATAATTATTTAAGGTGAAAGGCTATTTTGATTGTAAGGCTAAAAATCTAATTTATGCTTTAAATGTTCTATTTGAGGAGAACCGTACGTTGGAGAAACTAATAATTTGAGATCAAGAGATAATTTACCTATATATCATGTTCGAAATTCAGAAAGTTCCCCCTTTCAGTAAGTAAACATTTTTAATTCTATAATTTTATTTTTATAACGGATTGAGTGAACCTTTTTTCCAAAGGCTTTTCCCTTTCGGAATTGTAATGAATTGACCAATATAATACTATATTGACCTTTTAAATTCTTCTTTTACTTGAAAGCCGTTAGGAGGCGAGATATTTAATGTAAAAAATATTTTACTGTTGTTATTAAAGAGCTTTTAAATTAGATTTTGATTTTAAACATTAGTAATAATTTATTTTGTAAATCTGCGATTTTTAAGAAAAATTAAAATAATAGGAAATTAAAAATCTGAATTGAAAAACAGAATTTGTATATCTTATACATATTTTAAAGTTAAATATATTACTTTTAAAAACGTCTTTAGTTGTTTGCTGGTTTCTGTTGTTTCAATACAAAAGAGTAGGCTGTGATGCCACGAAATAGGTTAAATCAAGCTTCCGTTTTTGATGATTCGCGACGATTGCGTAAAGTAATTAAATGTAATTACATATATGAATAGCGTAAGTGTGTGTAAGACAAGC